GCATAATCAGATTCGGTGAGTTCTGGCCTCAACAGAACAGAAGCTCAAAAACTAGATATGTGATTTAAGCCTTTTAAGTCAACAGAATCAGCAGCACTTCAAGGTTCCAAGTATGAAAAAATACAAACAGTGTTAACCAGGGTTCCTCAGGTCTGCTGTTCGGCACCTTTTTGGATGCGTCTCTGCTTCAACACAACCAAGACCAATGATGGGGTTAGCAGATAGACTCTGAAGAACCTGACTGCATACTGAGGAGCTGAGTCAGCCCTTTGATTCTGGCGTAGGAAAACAAATGCGACTAAAAGGTCCTCTCCACTGTCGCTACAAGCATGCTTAATGTAAGGGGATTGCTGAAGAGTCAATGAGTCGATGCAATCAGCTGGTTTTCCTTAGATAGAAAACTTGAATGAATCTGACTGGATGATCTGGTTGAATCGTCTCTGTAAAGTGCCTTGAGATGACATGTTGTGGTACTATATAAATAAATTGAATAAAAAAAAGTTGTACCTCTTGCAGGTTCTGTACACTTGTGGAGGATGGCAGATTGTGAATGCTAAGGTGTCTCTTCTCTATGCTGTAGCGGACACAAAGGTAGCAGTTGGGCTCGATCATGTAGCCGTTTAGCTTTTGGATAGCCTTCATCGCAAGGGCGTTAGTGCCATACTTGGCGTAGGCAAAGCCGCGGTTCTGGCCACTGAAGTTCATCATGAGGCGGAACTCCCAGAGCGGTCCAACAGAACGGAACAGGGGGATTAGCAGGTCCTCGTAGACGTCCCGTGGGATGTGACTGATGAAGACCTCACAGCATTTTCCAGGGGGGGGACCATCCCACACTAAACCATGAAGAGCAGACAGGATGCCCTGAGAACAATGGTACAGGAGGAACCCAATAAAGATGTTCTGTAGACCCAGAACAACCGCTGAACCACTGCGGGCCTCAGAGGTCATGATTTAACAGAGAGAAATGTCCTGAATGGGAGACTTCCATGGCTACGATGACCCTGCTGACCCAGAAGAACATTAAGGCCCGAGTCAGGTAGACCAGAATCTTCTTAAGGATGGTCTGGTGGACAAATGTGGAACTTTTGGAAGACAAATTAACACAGTTTCCTAATAACCTGTAACTACTGTCAAAACTAGGGCTGAAAGATTTTGACAAAATTACAATTGCGAAAATTTTCAAAAAATAATGCAATTTTATTGGAATTCTTCTTTAGGCTAAGCACAATTATGTTAAAGTTTTACACCAGGTTTTCAGTGCTGCAGGACTTTACTGTAACATTTGCATGAAAAACGTTACTCTACTATAATGCATAGATCTAGGTTCTAGCTTCAACTCTCTGTTCCATTCTGTGCACCAGCATACCCACTTAAATTGTATTACCGCCACCTATGGGAGAAATTCAGTGCCCTACTCTTGTTAAATGTATTTTAAGTTTTGCAAACTGCATTTTTCTAAATTGTGATTATATTGCAATTGCAATCCATTGCCTAGCCCTGGTCAAAACTAATGGAAATATGCCCTTTGCCAGACTGCTGTTAGTATCGGATAATAAAGTACGATCACAACTGATCAAGTAGCTAGGCCTCCTCCCAAGAGCTAGCTAAGCTCTGGACTCCAAGTCATACTAAATACCCTCTTCTTTTCTGCAAAGAAGAGGTGATCAGGGTCCCTCAGTGGGGATGAGAAAGACTCGTCATCAGGCATTATGGAGATATTTGGCGTTAACCCTCTAGTTAGCTTTGCATTTAGCTGAGACAGGGAGCTGCTCTATGTCTCCCGCAGTGGTAGGGTTGGGTGTTCTGGCGTGGCTGTGCGTCTCACCCTCCGGTGGTCCTCCATACTTCCTCTGGCCGTTCAGCTGGGTCAGTGTGGTGTTGGTCTCCTTCAGCCAGGCATCCAGAGCCTGCATGCGTTGAAACTGCCTCAACTGATCGTGGAAACAAAGCAGGAAGATGTTATTCAGAGCACCTATGACATGTTGTGACATTAACAATTTATGTGGGAAATCCATTCTATCATCTGAGCAGCAGTTTCAACTGGAGGACTTCAAATCTCGATTAGATAACTCATTTCTAGACAAAGCTCAGGGGAGCATCAGTGTCCATCCATCCATTCTCTTCCTCTTTATCCGGGGGCCGGGTCACGGAAGCAGCAGTCTAAGCAGAGATGCCCAGACTTCCTGATCCAGTCACATCTCCTCCAGCTGCTCCCTGAGGCGACGCCAGGCCAGCTTAGAGACGTAGTCCTTCCAAACTGTCCCGGGCCTTCGACCAGGCCTCCTCCCAATGGGACATGCCTGGAGCACCTCCAGAGGGAGGCGACCAGGAAGCATCTGGAACAGACGCCCCAGCCTCCTCAGCTGGCTCTTTTCGACGTGGAGGAGCAGCGACTCTACTCT